TTTATCAGAACACTTTTTGTGCGCAAAAAAACTACAAAAATAACGTCTTTATTCCAACTATTCATTTACTTCTCTCTCTGCCTCGAGTCAGGTTACTAGTTTAATAGCGTAAGCTTCTGTTATTGTACGTCACGCACATCACACATGACCACCGTCAGCCAATAGTGAGCCTACGTGTGACGTAGCTCTACGCAATTACACTAGTTTAACTGACTAGAGGCCCAAAGAGAGGGAAGTGAATAGTTGAAATAAATTCGTTATTTTTGTTTGTTTTTGCGCTCAAAAAGTATTCTCGTCGTTTGATAAACTTAAGATTGAGCCACTGTAGTCACTTGGACTATTTTAACAATGTCTTTAATAACTTTTTGAGGCCGGCAAGTTTCAATCCCTCAAGAAGCCTATGGACTAGTATGGAGGAGTGACCCAGCTCTCAGATTTCATCAAAAAATATCTTAATTTGTGTGCCGAAGATGAACGAAGGTCTTACAGGGTTGGAACAACATGAGAGTGAGTAAATACTGACAGAATTTTCATTTTTGGGTGAACTTACCCTTTAATATTCAACAATATTATTGTACCGACGCTGTTGTATGAGAACTGAAATGAGCTGGACGATAACAAATCTTCGCAGAACTGCTTTATAGAAACTCATTTAATAATTGATGATCTTTACAACAGAACCGAATCAACATTTTCCTATTAACTCTGTAAAGCTGCTTTGAAACAATCTGTATTGTATAAAGCGCTATATATAAAAAAAAGGTGTCTTGACTTGACTCATGTACAAGCTGAGTTAAACCAGGCCTTGTGGTACAGGGCCAAATGACATCCTTTCTTCTGTATCTCTCTACAAGACACTAGCACTCCACCAGTGTGCCAGTCCATCTCAGGGAAATAAACAGAGACTCACGATCAACAAGGCAACACTCATGTGGTAATAGAGTCCCGTTCTGGCTTACGCGATACAAGTCATTCATAGGTTCACCCAGCCTGTCTGCACTGCAGGGCCGTAGCTTGTCTGTGTCTGTTAAGTTGACAGAAATGTCATGACACAACACATTACGCTTTTGGACCCACAGTCTCCGAGACGGGCTTGACAGCTCACAAATACGATTTAGAGCAACAAGCCTGGATACATGCAATTATGTTTTGCCGTGTTTGAATAAGCAGAACAGCATTGTTATGCGCACACAAACACAGATAAAGCCTTTCACTTCAACCATGTAAATGTTCAATCACGAAGCTCGTAAGCTTCGAATGGTTAATCCGAATGTTTTGACTGATTAAAAAGCGAAACTGCGTGGTTTTAATCTCTCGAGTTTGGAATTGTTCATCGGCAGTGAATAAAACATTCGCCGGACGCATTGTAAATCAATAATCCCTCAGTCGATCCAGATTTTTGAGCACTCCGCATACAGTAGTTTCAGCCCATCGCAAAAACTCCCATTGTTGTAGGTTTTCTAAACCCATTTCCGTAATTAGGGCACTCAAAACAGACAATGCGCGCATGTCGTGAGGGCTAGCGCCGACCATTTTTCCTTCCTGCTGGGGGACATGGTGACTGAGAAAGAACAGTGTCGGCCTCACAGCCCTGGCGTGATGCGGGATAGGGAAATGTCTGATTTTGCCTGCCTGTTGTCAGAGTTTCCTTCTGTGATCTCACTCCTAATAGAGACCTGCAGACACCTAAACACCCGTTTCTGTTCAGCAAGTAATTATAGTGTTTATTTCCTGCGGGTCACTCACTCGCAGCCTCCTGGTCATCAACTTCCACATCTTTTTGCTGGCATCGTGTGGCTACAAAGGTCTCTCTGGAGGAGAGAGTTTCTGCCCTCCCTCAGCGTCTCTCAGATGCGAGATGTGGTTGCATAGGCATTTTCTATTTACGTGTTCATCTGTGTCCATGCCGGACGGAGATGATGAATGCTTCCTCTGAGAGCTAGCCGGCTCTTTGTGGGCAGGTTAGCAATGGGAGACAGGGACAGAAGACGGAGCGGGGGGCGACTCGTGGGCTCCCCGTGGGCAAGCTGTGCTCTGAACCTTCTTGACTTGGCTTCCACGCTCTCTCTCACGTGTGAATTGCCTCATCTGGCCCAGAGGATTTAAACTTATGTCAGCCTGAGACTGGGTGCACTCTTAATCATCTTAGAAGTGAGAGCTGGGTTATGAGAGGGAGAATGAGGCCTGCTTGCTGTCTCCTGAGACGCTGTGCAGAGGCAGGGTGTGTGTGCTTGTGTCCTAGGTTGTGTCAGAGAGAGATGCAGACAGAGAGATACGTGGGAAGGTGGGAAACAAGTAAAGAAAACAGGATGAGATGCGCTGTGTGCATTCTGAAACCAGACAGATGACTTTATGACCCGATTATTGGTGTCATATTGGCTTATCCTGCTGAGGCTTTGCTTTTCTTTAAGGCTGAAGTCAGCATGAAGCATCCACATGGTTTTCATCTTTACTTATTAGTCTGCTTACTTTCATTCTGTCCGTCACATAGTTGTCAATCATTGTTAGACGGCGATGTAAGTGCAGGGATGATGCTTAGTAAAGCCTGTTTTAGGGCGTCTACACACTAGAGAAAGCTCTGATGGATGGGTTGTTTGACAGATAGGATTGCGTAGATGTTTTATGAAGGGTTTCAAAATGAATCATTCGAGTTTAGAAGGCAGCAATATTAAAAAACGAATTCTCCAATAATCAGTTATTTTCTTGTTTTGGCTGATATATTACAATTCTATACAATTTGGTCTGAATAAATACAAAACAAAACAACTATTTTTTTTTATTGCAGATTAAGAAAACAGTAACACATACCAGTTAAGATTCAGTGAGACACATCTACAATATAGAAGGAGGAAAGGGGAAAAAAAACACAGAGAAGAGAACAGAAAAATACTAAACAGCCCCGCACAGTCATCAACAAAGTGGTATATGTAGGCACACAAGATCCTTTCTGTGATGCAATTGGGTTGTATCTGAATAGTTGTGGAGGATATGATAGAGATTTTGATAAACACAAAGACAGTGTTGTTGTCGAGACCACCTCACTCGAGTCCGAGTCGACACCGAGACCAGAGAGAGTCGAGTCCGAGTCAAGACCGAGTCCATAGAGAGTCGAGTCCGAGTCGAGACCGAGACCAGTGAGGGTTGATTACCTAATTTACTTTTATTTACTTAGAGAAATCCTTTTTTTTTACTGAATTTACTTAGAGTTTAAAAAATATGATCAGTTTAGGGTAAAAAGGCCACATAGTAGGTGGTGTTAAAAGTAATTTTATTACAATTTGTCATGCGCAGTTGCGCACTAGAAAATCACCAATCACTGGGCGTGTCAATCAATTTAAAGAAATATTTTATTAAGTAAATTAATAATCATGAAATATATTTTTAATTGAACTCGAGTGGACTCGGGAATAATTCCGAGTCCTAAAAAAAAAATGTTCGAGTACGAGTCAATTCCGAGTCCAAATGCACACGAGTCCATGACAAGACCAAGACCATTAAAATATGGTCTCGAGACCGAGTCTGAGTCTCGATTACTACAACACTGCACAAAGATATATATATATATATATATATTAGTATTAGTGGTGGTAGTATCAATGATAGTATTTATAATGATAATATTCATGACAACAATAGTAACATAGGCTCTATTTTTTTAAGGCGAGACACGACATGTGAATAGGGTAATTTTTTTATCTAGCAGATATCACCATGCAACTTTCCCTGTTGATTACCTACATTAAGATGAGAAAAATAATATATTACAAGTTTTCTGTAATTTAATGTTTAAATATGCAAATGAGGCATTATCTAATTAAATATGCACTAATTTGCATATATATATATATAAAAAAACCCCGAAATCTGAGTATTGGATAAAGCCACGTTCAAAATTCTTTTTTCATTGTGTTCGATGAGAAAAAAAAATACTGAGGGATTTATGGATGTCTACTTTTGTTATCCTGTAAATCAGAATATACTGCCAATTGCCTTGATTTTTTCGCCATGTTTTTTGGAATAAAATGTTATATAAATCAGGCTAGGAATAATATATTTACAAATCCCTCTGTAAATGTCTTCATAATATAACTAGGTACTAGACTGGAAAGTTTAGTGTATATAGGTGCTACTGAAGTGGAGATTTTGGACTTGGAGTATGAGAGAAAAGTCATTTTGAGAAAACTGGCTTTAAAGATTCAGTATCAGCCAATGAGATTGTGCATTTAGAGTTAAATCCCCCCGTTTACTTTCACGATTGGTTGCTGATTAAAAAGAAAATGACCATATTTGGATCCGAAAGTGTTGTACAGGAGAAAGAGCTTTCTAACTGCGCGTGTGATGACAGGGTGCAGATCGCGATCACTGAGCAGCAGGATGATTTATAACGACAACTTTTGAAGAATTTATGAGAAATCTACAGACGCAAACAGACAAAGTGTAGTAAAATAAAGACCTAAATGTGTATTTCAGACTTTTTTTCACCACAAGTCTGAAAGAAGACATGTTATTGAAGACAAATATCCCAAAATCTCAAAATTGACCAGTGAAAAAAGAAATGTTTTTGCCTGCCGTGTCTCGCCTTAAAAGCTACAAATGAATTTGGGCATCACAACATTATAATGTTTTAGGATTACATTGTATTCATCATAATATTATAATATAATACAACTATTATACTATAATGTAAAAGCAGGGGGAATGAGCATCAAAAATACATATCCATTATTCAGTGTTTTAGTTTTTTAAACTAATAATACATGTCATGTGAGTGGGCCAATCTCCAGCTGTTGAAGAAAAGCAGGTGTGAAGATAAGAAATCATTGTGTGTCTCAGTTTTATATCCTTCCTGCATGTATCAGGCAGGGGAACACAGACGCTTTCATCTGCATCAGACCTCCACTTTTGTTTTTCTAGAGTTTTCACATTACAACAGGTTTTCTCTCTTTCTGTCTCTGATCTTCATTTCTTTTCTCATTTCATTCTCTAATTCTGTTTCACAGATCGTGGTGTGGACACCTCAGGAAAACGACATAGACAGAAAGAGAGTGAGAGAGAAAGACTCGAGAAGAAAGAGTGGAGTACAATGTGCTAGGGGAGTGAAGGCAGACCAACTCTCGTGTTTTTCTGATATTCTCACGGTGTCAGAGAGACCAAGCAGGACGCCAAGATGGGACGGAAGAAGATACAGATCACGCGGATCATGGATGAGAGGAACCGGCAGGTCAGTAGTTATTGGATATCATCCTTAACCTGCATGTCCATTTTTTAAATGTATTTTTAACAAGAAATTCATGCTTTTATTCAGCAAGGACTCATGAAATTGCTGGCTTTATGCACAGCTGCACTACTTCCTGAAGTTCAGCCAGCTCCTTGTTTCCTGTCAGCCATTATTGGACAAACTGATTAATTCAGGTGTGCCTGACCTCAGTTGTCACAGCAACAATAATCAGACACACCTGGATTAATCAGTTTGTCCAATAATGGCAGACAGGAAACAAGGAGCTGGCTGAACTTCAGGAAGTAGTGCAGCTGTGCATATAGCCAATTGACAAAGATATTTATAAAGCGACAAAATATTTATATTTCAAATAAATCCCGTTCTTTTCACATTTCTATTCAACAAAGAATACAAATTATTTTAACCCTTGTGCTGCATTAGATTTTTAACACCGTTGAGTGCATTAAGGACCAAAAATGGCCACATATTAAACATTGCCTAAAATATTATATATTATTATTATTTTCCACTTTTACCAAGTTAAATCTTTTAACCAGCATCAGTCCTCATCATAACTACCAAAAATGTATTCAATTTCAGGATTTTAACCCTTTAATTACCAGTTTTGGTTTGCGAAACCATCGATTTGTATAAGAGGAAAAAACACAAAAATTCAATTATTTTCAATAAACTAAATGCAAAGAGAAAACTTTAGATTTGGATTATCACAGTCCCACTTTGCAAAAAATCCCACTTAGCGGGTTAGAGACCAAAAATGGCCACCTATTAAACATTGCCTATTGCCTAAAATAAGGTGCATTTCCACCCATAGGGAATAAATATGTAGTGACGTCATCTGGTGGAATACACTATATAATGCAAATATAATGCTTTTGCTTCAAAATGAAAGGATGTTTGTGCAAAAATCATGTTTCATGTATTTCTGACAGCCTCAGATTTAAACAACGTTTTAATGGGTTTCAATGGGCCATTTTTGGTCTTTATGGTGCTGAGTGTTACTATTTGATCTACACAGTGTGTGTTATACATATTTAGCAAAATGGGATCACATTTTTTACATGTATCCAAAAAGTCACAATTTTGCCAAATTTCATACCATTTGCATTAAAACAGCCAAAATGGTCAAAGAAATTAAACTGCAAAAGACCAAAAATGTCCCTAATGCAGCATAAGGGTTAAATGACAATACTATTGACTGTTTTTACTGTAGTTATGATCAAATAAACGAAGCCTTGCTAAGCAAAAAAAAACAACAACTTTTGGTCTACATATTAGGGAAGAAATATCAGAATCCCTTCATGATTTTGTGCACAGCAAACACAACAGGCCTGAAAGACCCATTTGATTATTGCTCAGTTTGGGCCATCTGTTCATTGGCTAAACATGTTGTCCCAGCATTCCTGGATAGACACACAGCCATAAAAAGGGACCGGGACTCATTTCCAGCCATATTTACAGACGCGGTTCCCACACACCACCCTGCAATTTCGGTCCGGAGAAGTTGATGAGGCAGACAGAGCTGGTGCAAGTCAGCAAGGGGTGACTGGGGTGAATTGGGGCGACTATGGCCTCTCTCTCTCTCTCTCTCTTCACACTGGTGGGCTTGTGCTTGGGCCGACAGGGCCCGGTGCTCCTTGCGGTTGCAGATGCTTGGTAGTACCTCGGCACCCTCTCATTACAAGGAGGGACAGTGGGGATACACTGTGCCCATCTCTCTCTCCAATCTCCCTATTTCTGCTTCTGCCTCTCTCTATATATTCCTGTCCTTTCCTTTCCCCAGAAAAGTGGCAATGATCTAGCCAGCGACAGAGACAGACTGGAATTCACCCTTGTCTACTCACGCTAAATATAAATAACATAACACAGCCCCGTCTGGTCGCTTTCTCTGACACAGTCATTTTAGAGAAGGGAAAATGCACTTAGAAAACAGATGTGAGGCACGTAGAGTTGTGCTCAAGCATACATGGCATGTCTAATATCCATTTTAGAGAGGAAGTCACTCCATTTGTCATGTTTATAGATTTGATAATGAAAAACAGTATGCACCAGTCCACGTCTCTCCAGCTAGACTTGATGCACCCATTCACACCCGCTCAAAATATCATTTGCACTGTCTCGTCGGTGAAATAACTTTTCTTGCCATGCTCACGGAAAGCTAATTGAGGTTTTGCTCACTCTCCTGAGGGTGATAACATAACAGCCCGTGCCCTCCTCCCTCCCTCCTTGCCCCCAGCTCTCCTCCCACCTCTCTGACAGTTACTGTGGAGGTAGCAGTTCAGCCAAGTGAGAAACTCGAATTTACAGGACAGGCCAATTATCAGCATAACACCAGGTCCTGGGTGGGATCCAAATAGGAAGGCAGGCAAAGAGAAGATGTCTACTAGAAACATCAGCATCTGCACTATCTGCCCCAGCCTACAACATCAGCAAAAAGAAAAGAAAAAAAAAAGAGAGAAAAGGGGGCAAAGAGAAAGTTCACTTTTTTCTAGTTCAGTTTATTTCATTCTACCTATCTTAAAGGATTAGTTCACTTTAAAAAAAAATAAAAAAATACTTTTGCTGATAATTTACTCACCCCCATGTCATCCAAGATGTCCATGTCATTCTTTCTTCAGTCGAAAAAAAAGATTAAGGTTTTTGATGAAAACATTACAGGACTTTTCTCCATATAATAGACTTCAATGGGAACCAAACGGTTCAAGGTCCAAAAGGCAAACTGTTCAAAGGGTTTTAAACGATTCCTGACGATGAATAAGGGTCTTATCAAGCGAAACGATCGCTCATTTAATAAATAAATAACAAAGTTTAAGCTTTATAAGCTCAAATGCTCGCCTTGCTCTGTACTGTGATGCGCGTTCGTGACTCTCCTGTTCGAACTCGTTCATCAAAATGAACACATCTTTTTCTGAGTTAATTCGTTCGTTTCGTTTGTTGAATGAACCAAATGACACGAAAAAAGATTCGTTCATTTTGATTTGAGCGAGTTTTCATCAAAAACCTTAATTTCTTTTCGACTGAAGAAAGAAAGACGTGGACATCTTGGATGACATGGGGGTGAGTGAATTATCAGCAAAAAGTTTTTTTTAAAAGTGAACTACTCCTTTAATGGGATATTTCACATCAAATTTTAGTTTATTTTTGAAATTTTTGAAGAGAGGACGGTATCGGAAAAACCAAGGCTAACAACTATGAGCAAGGTCTCGAAATCGGATCACTCAAAGCCTATAAATGCCTCATTCATTCATTCAAAGAGCGGATCACTTACCAAAAATCATTTACTCACTCTCATGTCCAGGACAAAAAAAGGTATTTAAAAAAATGTCTCAGTGTTGTTTTGTCCACACAATGAAAGTCACTTTTATCTAATGTTGTTTTATACCCATTGACTTTCATTATAAGGACAAAAACAGTTTCACATTCTTTAGAAATTCTTCTATTATGTTCCACAAAAGAAAAAAAAAACTCATATATTTTTGGAAGGACATGAGGGTGAGTAAATCATTTGGATGATCCCTTTAAGAATTCATTCACTCGCATTGACTTTAAGCGTATCACAATACAGCTTTTTCTTTTCCCTGCTGTTATTACAGAGCTTGAGAGACAATACACCACACAGTAATTAATCGCGCTCTTGTCCGTCACAATCCGAATTTCACGGTGCTCATCGGAGAGGGTGGTTATCAGTGGCACACAGGCTCAGCCACGAGTGTGGTCGACTTGCTCAGCAGAGAGTTCTTGGAGACAAATGGAGAAAGATGTAAGACGCAAAGCCCTTTTATTAGAGCTTTTGCGCAGTTCTTCCCCCCCACTAGCATGAACCCGGTCTCCTGCTCGCTCTAGGGTGCTCTCCTCACCCTGGGGAGATGGCCATTAGCATACTGGGCCCGTTGAAAGAAGACAATTAAAATCCTTATCTGCGCGGCTGTGCCGGGAGCTATCTTTATTCATTGCATTAGAATGAGAGAATGCCTTAAGTGGCCTAATTAAATACAGTGGCGGTTCTGCACGCAGCACAGGCTTCGGCAGGGGCATCTCCATTCATTATGTGAAGGGATCTTGAAAGCCTGTTGACCTATCAGGATTTATTTAGGAGAGCTCAGCGGGGGTCGTGATGTCCACAATTGCAGTATCTGTCAAAACAATAGGTTCAGAAGCAAGCCGCGGGACGTTCATTGTGCCGTTCCGGCACGTATCCTGCAAAAGTATTCACCCCCAAGAGGTTTGTAAGATCTTAGCGAGCATCGAATCCTGCCCTTTGATCGATTCGCTAGGGAAGGCGTAACGGACGTCGATTCAACCATTGATTGAGTCCCATCAGTGGAAGAAAGAGGTATGAGTTCATTATTGTATAAGAACGACGGCAGAGCATCTCTGTTCTTACTCGGCAGCACGCTCAGACTCTATGAAATATAGAGGAGCTGGAGGTCCTGTCATGCATGCATCCCTGTCCTTCTGGGGCTTTCCACCAAAAGCCCCTTAAGTGCGGCCTGTAGGAGGAGGAAGGAGTGACAGCGAAAGGAGAAGAGGAGAGGATTTGGTTAGCCTCACTGAACAGCTCAGGCTGACATACTAATTGCAAAGCTGTGTAAGGGGGACGACTGCCATAATAGCGCAGGAGGACAGAATGATCCTGAACCCCCCTCCCTTTCCCTCTCCACCTGTCCATCGTCCACTCATTACAAGCTCTGATTTCCTCAAACCTGTAATTATATGTCCTGATAATGTCGTACACCTGTCTCATTTGCAGCGCATGTGATAGTGGTAGTAACATGCTTTTTGAAGTTCTCCCCTAGTAGAAAACTTGTAATTGCGGTGATGGTCTCAAAGGACCCTAATGAGAGCTACCTGTCAACAGCATCACTCCATTGTAGCTCTGATTGTGTTGCGACAGCTCTTTGATTCAGAGAGGATGGAAAGTATTATCGTGAACGCAAGAGTAAAGACTCGAGGGAAGAGTTCTGCAAAAGCACGCGCAGGAAAAA